AGAGGGAGAGGGAGAGGGAGAGGGAGAGGGAGAGGGAGAGGGAGAGAGAGAGAGGGAGAGAGAGGACAGTCAAACACTTCTCTCACTGCACAGCTGATTGGTGGCTCACTTCAGTGTGACTGTTCATTCAGGAGCCACCACATATTTGATTGTGGGGCTTACTAACAGTTGACTTTCTTTGCCCCACTCCCAAAGCCACCAGTCATTTGATTCCTTACAGCCACTAGCCACACAACTGCTTGGTGGTGGCATGAGGCATCCATTCTCTTGGATTCAGGGCATGGCATGACATATTCAAGCTACAGGGCAAGACTTAGCTCTTGTTTCAGACTCTGTATTTTCTTTCCCAAGATGTATTTATTATGTTCATTACATGCATACACATGCACTGCCAGCAGAAACAATGTATGTAGCACATAAACATGAACCTCAGAAATATAAGATATACAGAAACAACACAGAATATGATCTATAAGTGGAAAACTTAAAATTGTATTTTCATTTAGAGATGAATGCACTGTTGAAAGTAGGGAAATACCACTGCTCTTTTTTACAATTGTATATCTTTTTAATTTTACCATCTGGTAACTTAATACCTTCGGAATAGGAGAGCTGAATGTAACCCTCCCCCCACCAAAAAAAAAAAAAAACCCTCAGTGTTAATAGGTGGGAGGATAATTTTGGCTATTTGGCTCACAGATGAATGCTTGAAAAAATGTTTCACTACGGTAAGGTATGCACTGTCCTGAGCCTGTGATACTATAACTGCATTTGAAGTAAGGCTGTGCTGGTAACAGTAATAGTTAAAATATGTATCAGCAAGGATAATACATCTTTCTTTTCCCATTAAAATGATTCAGGGGAAGTGGAAATTGAGAGTGATGATGACGATGATTATGACGATGACTGCAAAAAATCATCAATGGATGAAGTAAGAAATGAATCATTTTGAAGTACAGATCGCTCTGGCTTGACTTTGAGAGCATGTTTGCACATTTGTCTGTATGAGTCAATCTTGTACTGCCACCTTCTGGATAGTGGGGCTCCTGCCACAACCTCACCACTGGCTCATCAAGCTTTCCAGAAGAGATCCACAGTTTGATGGGGCTTTATTAGGGGCACATGGGACTTTCTGTTGCTCTGAATCATGTATCTATATTAAATATTCTACCTCCTGCTCAGTTTTTATGTGACAGGCAGAGCTTCAAGGGGTTTCAGCTACTATCGTGTGGTTTCAGATTTCAATATTGCTCTGGAATGACAGCCGGGAAAGAGGGAATGCTCTTGCAGTGGGCATGCAAGCATCTTATTGAGTAATCTTCATGGGAAACATATAGTAGTCATCTGAGGTTTATGCACTTGATTGAAAACATCATCTGGAAATATTCATCCAGTTTATTTTTCAATGTGAAAAGAGTGCTAGGTAGGGAAATATTCCTTGCAGGCCTCTTAACTGTACCCCTTTCTCTGTAACTGGTTGTGGCCATAGTTTCTCCTTTTGCTGCTGCTTTCTCTTATTATTATTATTATTATTATTATTATTATTATTATTATTATTATAACATTTCTATGCCGCCCCTTGCCGAAGCCTCGGGGCGGCTTACAACACAATAACTTTTCTTGAGTTATTGTTATTGTAGCCAGTTAGGGTTCATGTAGAGAATGTTATTATGTCAAGGCACCATGTTGCCATTCAGAACAACTTAAAGCAACAGAAAAGGAGGGCAGTGCTTCTGGCATTGTATTTTCTTCTGTCTACATGAGTAAACATTCACATACACCCTTCAATAGAGTCCTGAGCAATCATTGAAAAGGATAGAGTGAGGGTGTTCTATCACTATCCTCTTTTGGTGGACTGTGCATCCTACCCACTTTCCAGCTTATCCATGGAAATAGTTAAAATAGTTAAAAATCAGAGAGATTCTCATTCATTTCTTAAAGTTTCATTTTCATTCAGACAAGTCAAAATATAAATCAATGGAACAGTGATTATTGGAAACAGCTTGTTAAAAATTTTACCTTTGAGAGCAATGTCCAGACTCTGTTCTCCTAATATCATTTTCGCATTATACATATAGCCATTCATTTGCAGTTTGTGTTTCACCAGAGGCCTAAGCATCACTTGGAAATTACATTCCCCTTGCATCCCCGGAAGATCAGCTTGGTCTGTGCCATGGCTGGGAAAATGGGAGGCACAGAAAAGTTGCTTCCCACCTCCATCCCAGAAAGAGTTTTGCCTTTTTCTTATTTGCTCAAGATCAGAAAAATAATTCACAGTTAAGGTAATTTAAATGGATGGTTGCTGTAGGACCACAAAATCAGCTCACTTTGGACTCTGTTACTGACCAGAAAGATAGCTGTACCTTTTCCATTCCCACAAGCACAATAGCAACAGAAGATAAGTTTGGCCCCAGCTGGATACAAGTGCTAGTTAACAATTCAACCTTTGTCCTGTCCTTCTCAAACTGATCTCAGCCTTCTCCTTCGACTCCCTTCTGCTGCTTTTCTTGTCTTAAGTTCTAAGGCTAAGGATCAGCCTCTCATTCTCATTCGTGTGTTACATAGTGAATATTAACTGCTGTGAATCATTTACAGAGACTAATTATGTCTGATACTCTAAGCAGTATAAAAAAGTGGTGGGTTTCTACTCTTTTCCACTTCATCATAGCTTTAGAAATCTTACTGAATTTGGAAATGTTTCCGCTGGATATTGTGGAATGGGAAGATGCATGAGGGATGAGTAAAACCACCCCCTTCTGTTTTTTCAAAGGTTTAGTGAACCTGGATTTTGAATGAAGAACATATTCCATTACTGGAAAATGTAGGAAAGACTTCAGAAGATTTCCCATAGATGCATCTAGTGTCAGTCATTATGAACTTCGTGCTATAAATACTTTGACAAGCTGCTGACATTACAGGTATTCAAAACCAGTGTTCATATTACTCTATCTCTCCTCTAGGGAACTGCTGGAAGTGAGGCCATGGCGACTGAAGAAATGTCCAACTTGGTTAATTACATCCAGCCTGTGAAGTTTGAGTCATTTGAAACATCTAAAAGTCAGTATGAAAAGTATTGACACCTCCTTACATTTTGCATTCTGTGTTGATCATGCATGCTGACTTAAAAGATAAGAAGCATTAGCTCTTTGTGTGTTTTCAGTGCACAGCAACCTGAGATCTTAAAGAAAGCCACTCTATTTTATTGTACAAGTATGGAAGTTACATGTTCCTCCAGATTATATGGAGGCATTCAAGGAAGATGCAGGCTTTTTAGCAATGCATAGAGCAGTCCCCTTGCTTGGATGGTGGATATTTAAATTTCCTTGGAGGAGATAGCAATAGAGTCTTCTAGGATCTTATTCAGAATCTGTTTACTTAGACAGATGGAATAAAGGTGATGAGGGTGCAGAAATAAGGGTGTGGACAGTAACTGACAGCTAACTTAGTTCAGGTCCTCAAAATCTGAGTCAGGATTCAGCAGAGCAAAATTTGACCTTGGAGCTCTTTATTGGAGTCTGAGATCACCCCAAAGTGGTCTCAGACTCCACCCTGGCAGATGTAACAGGTTTTTTGTGTTTTTATTTGGGCAAGAGCTGAAGATGATGGGCAGTTTCACTATAATGTAAGATGACTACCATACCAATTTATAAAGGCACACAACAACCTGTGAAACTGTGGAGATGTTACAGGGTTACGAGCCAGGATGGTTTTTCATAAATTCAGCTCCTTAAAAATTTAGTGTTTTTAATTTGGGTATTTGTTCAATTTTAATATCTAATCTGATTTCATTATATTTTAACTCTTGTGTGTTTTAGATATTTGATTTGTATGAATTTTAATGTTGTGAGCTGCTTTGAGTCAGTCACTGGGAATAGGCAGGTTGTAAATATAATAATGGTGATGATGATGAACTACATTATAATCAAAATGCTGAGTAATAGAACAGGAGGACCAATGAGGCTAGAGAAACTATGGCAGCCTTGTCTGGGGTGGGGCCCCTGATAGCTCTGATTGTGAACACAACATGTGTGTACTTGAATTGATGAATGGTACCTTTCTTTGGAGGGAGCATAATTTGGTCTTTTGGTAGAAAATTAAGTTGACTGTAAAGTTCATACCAGCAAGAATCAGCAGCACTGTTGGAGCCCAAAATCAGCTCACACCAATGTGCTCTTAAGCTCAAAGGAATGAGAATGCAAAATGTTAATGGTCCACTCTGTCAAAGACATGCCCCACTGATTTCAGTAGGAAAGATTTAAGGATGTGCTCAACTCGTTCTCTGAAGCCAGTGAAAATCAGAGGGGTGACTGTGTTGGATTTGTACCTCAAGTTCCTAAGTGCAGTATTGTGCTAGAAACCGGTCTGGAGTTGTGTCTTTATTACTGTTTTTGGGAAAATGCCTTAATTTACAAGTATAACATAGAACAGGAATGTGAAACCCATCTTTCTGCATACACTTCATTGTCTTTCCTCTGTTGTGAATCTGTTTATTAGAAATAAATGGTCCATACTCATGATTGCCTGCTGGCTTTTACTGAAGGGTACTTGCTGGGAATGCACTTTGCCACATCTTGAGCAAACAAACTGACATCTTTTTCTTACTTAGAGCAGAACTCCCTTTGAGAAAGGCTGTCCTGTTTTGTTTTGTTTTGACGGGTAGAGTACTGTGACCCCTGCTGCTGCCTTTTTAAAGGATGCCTATAGCATTTGAATTACGGTGGTGAATCTTAGATATGTTTCTTAGGCGCTGTACATATAGGGGGCACAAATTCCACATCTACTTTCAACTTCTTTGTTTAGTTGTCTTGCGCTTTGATGTCTACTTTATGTTCTACTTGCATTCTCAAGAGATGTTTACTCCAGACCAAGAAGAAGAAGAAAGTTGTTATTTTTTGCCACAGATGGCATTTATTTAAAAAATCTGCTCATTCTCTGGACCTTTTGTATTATTTGTTTACATGGAAAATCATAGTAAAGTTCATGTCTGCACTGCTTTGCTTGGGGTTCTTATGCATTAAGCTCAGTAAGCTCATCACAAACTACCTCTGCACCTCTTTGTGATTCAGGCCAACTCTTTACCAATTGTCTGTCTGGCAGATCAGGTGAATTTCTGAGCTGGCCCAAGTGGCAGTTCATATCTGGGAACAATGTGCACTATCTCACATAATACAATTCCAGAGTGGGGTGGGATGTGCTTTGAAATTCCTTCTAAGCTACAGAAACAGTGTAGATAATAGAGCAATAGTTTCCTGTGGTACCATGTTGTGTATTCCAGCTATTATGGTGCAATACTCTACGTAGGCTGGTTCTCTTCTTGAAAAATGTTGGTCCTGCAATGAAACAGGCTGCATGTATGAGGGTGGGTGCTTCTTTTCCAGCTTAATGAAAATGTATGGCCTACAACCTCTTGCTCATCAAAGAAAGAAAAGAAAGGAGAAGCTTAAAAATATGAATAATTAAGGTGGCAATTAAAATGCTCCTTCCTTCTGATGCTTCATTGCAAAATAGGGCTTACATGCCAAGCTGGAAGGAAGCATCCCTTTGTCTCCTTAATATCAGTAGATTCATGCATAAATACTGAATGCAGGATTATAGCTTCAGACTTAGCATATCAAACAAATCCACATGGAAGTACATTCACATTGAAGTAATCATGGTTGATTTCTAAGTTAAATGTCTTCATTATCTGGAGGCAAGTCTTTGCTGTCAGGGATCTGATTGTAGTTCTCATTAGTAAAGCAGCTTTAGATGTGATCAAAACCCAATTTACTACTGTTTAGAGACAGGGCACCCTCTCCTGCAGGGAAAAGAAAAATGGAAATAGAAAAAGAGAAGAAAGAGTAGCTAAATAGTACAACAACCGTTTTTCAAGTGTTGTACCTGGCACGGAAATCGAATTGGGGATTTGGTGCTTGTCTTCAGGTAGTAAAATATCTTGCAGGGAAGCACTGAGAGGAAGAAAAGAGTAAACAATTTTTTAGAAGTCCATTTTTCAGAATACCATCCCATTTTAAAATGCCTTGTATCCTGAAAACATGAAGTGCATTATGTTTCATTCCAAATATTCTTGTGATATTACTTTTGTTTAAATTACATTGTTGGAACACTCTCATTGCCTCTTGTACCTACGGGAGCACTGCAACAGCTCATTTCAACTCAGCGGACCTCCTGCCCAATTTAATTGGATTATTGCAACCTGGCCAAATAAGGATTTTTTTCTGCAGATTTCCTTCACTAAGATGGACACATTTTGAACATTAAAAAATACCAAGAAATTTTGCTCAGATCATATAGTTTGTGCAAATTGATGCTACTTCTACAAAAGATGGTATTTTGCAGATTTTGTACAAATTGGCACCAGAAAATTTCATGATAGTCACACAGTTTGCACAGATTAATGCCATGCTTTTGGTTCTGTTGGGGTGAGTTGCATAAATCTTTGTGTGTTTGTTTCCTCCTCCTCCTCCTCCTCCTCCTCCTCCTCCTCTTTTAAATGTGCAAATCTTGGCCTTTCTTAGAGATGCAAGGCTGTGGCTTGCACTATATGAAGTTAGCGTCAGTGTAGGACTGAAACTGGAATGTGGGCAGGGATACAAATCATTAACGTCCTTTTGATTTTCACCCCGCTCACATCCCTACATGTGCCTCATGCCATTTTTGTAAAATATAATTCTAGTCTTTCATTGCTGCTTCTTGCTCAGGTACTCGTCTCTTCAGCCAAGTAAGCCCAAGGCTAGCAAAAATGAAACTACCTTACAGGCAGCTCTCAAATGGCCATGCCATGCTGAGCGGTATAGATTGAAAAATCTATTTTTTTTCCTATTGGTTATAAAGGGCAACTACCCTGGTACCTCACAAAGTAAGTTGAAAACATCTTCTGCATAGTGGGGTTTTCCTTGCTTTCAACATAAGATGTAGTGCTGGTTAAAATTAATGACTACCCCAGCTATTATACTATACCAAGTTTTTCTGTACTTTTGCTCTGTACCTCTCAAGGGCCCATGTGTTCCAGTTAGTGCTAGAGACAGAACTAAATAACTGCTGGTATTTATGTTTTCAAAGGAAAAATAGCCCTTTTTTGGTCCTTAGAACCCTTGGTGCCATTTTTTGAACCAGACACAGCCTGACATAACTATCTTTGTAACTCCCTTTTCATTTCCTCTGTCATGCTATTGCTGTCTATTTTTTAATTATGCCCAGCAACTTTTTTCTTCCATTCCCTCTAGTTATGAAACAAACAAACAAAGCACAGGAATGGAATAGTATAGAAATCACAGAAATCTGGAACTGGGTCTCTAGAATGCTTGGGAGCAAAGAAAGGTCTTTGCTTGCTGGGAAATATCAAGATTGATACCTGATAAACCTCTTTCAGGAGATCATTCCATTAGCGGGGTGCTGTGGCTTTGCATTCTGATGTTGCTACTCACCTAGCTTCCTTGGGTAGAACACCTGGTAGAGGGCCACCAAAGATAACTAAGGGATGACTAACATACATACAGGAGAAGATATCCCTTAGATACTCTGGTCCTAAACTGTTTAGGGCTTTATCAACGCCAACACTTTGAACTGGATGTGGGAACAGACTAGAAGCTAGCACAGCTGACAAAGCACAGGCATCAGATAGTCAGATTGGCCCAGTTAGTAACTAGCAGCTTTGTTTTAAATTAACTGATCTGTCTATACTGTATTCCAAGGTTCAGGATGTGCGAGGAATCTACTTGGTGAGGGGAGGTCAAAATCACATAAACTGACCAGGCTCAGCTCATCCAGATTCCACCCTACCTACCCAGCACAGGCACTAACTCACTTTGACACAAAGCAACACAACACACAGTCTTCTGCTTTTAAAGGCTGAGAATTATGAGCAAAATGCAACCACAGTTTGCATAAATATTATATTGGCCATATTCTGTGCCAATTTGCCTGACTTGAAAAAAATAAAACCGTGGCTCACTTTAAAAGCGGAAGCTGACCCATGCACACATACACACGTGAGCCCCAACTTGACCTACTTTTGGCTCTCAAGTTAGCGAGGCGCACCAAAGTCTGCCAAGCACAATCCCATTCCATTCAAAGGTCAGTCTGTGTGCAACATATCTGGAAGGTTACCAAAACATGGGTAATTGTCACCAGGCTATCTCTGTCCAGAAAGGTCTCCATTGTTATATCAACCTATTTAATAACATGTAACTTAGAGATACACACAAAATCTGTCTTTTATCAAGAAGTAGCATGACTGCCATTAATCAGCAACCAAACATCTAATTGCATATCTATCACCAGTGTTAAAGGAAGGTGTTATGGGAAGTCAGCAGTGAAACTGTACTGAAATCTGAAAAACTGAAGTCTGACAAACTTGGTAATACAAATGAGTTTACCTTCTCTACTAAAAATAAGTGTGATTGATGACTGGCTGATTCTATGGCATTCCATTTATCTTTAAACATATTGCTGTATGTTTGTGATGTCTTGATAACAAATTACATAAGTTAAGACATGGTAAAGAACTTGTGAAGAGATCCCCTGCAGTGAGAGATTTACACACCAAGCCTTTGCTCAGTATGGACTTGTTCTATTTGGTTTGCTTGCGTTTCTGAATTAATGGAAGACTTAACAGAATATTAAATCAAGGATGCTGGCCGAGGTCCAGCAGTGAGACCACAAGGCTGTGCCATAGCTGACAAACACAAAAGACCCACTTGCAGTCATAGCAGTCTTTGAGTCCTCTGTCCCAATTACTATCAGCAGTACTTTTTTTGTATAAAAAAAAAAAGGTGCCGGAACTCATGTCTTGGAGTCACACTTTTACACTAAAAAAGATTTTCAAATCACCAACTTTTTTTGAAATAAAGAACTTATTTACCTTTTGCATGTAGCCAGTCACTCTACACACACATAAACATAATGGTCACCGCTGGCAGTAAGCACTCAGCACGCGACCACATACACCAATCCCAAGCCAAGCAGTGTCCCAAGCCGAGCAGCGCCCTCACAATCAGCACGGACACACAAGCAGCCCGCAGGCACTATTTTAATGATTTTTGCCGCTGACCTGCTACGCCCGACAGGCGATTCAAAATCACTTTGTAAAATCCATTGGAAAAATCCGTCAAAAAAAGGTGCCGGAATGCCGTTCCACTGCGTTCTATGACAAAAAAGCCCTGACTATCAGTATAGAAAATTGAGCGTATGTGTGCATGGAAATCAGCAGGGGGAAGCCACCAAATATAATAGGCACAATGTTGACATTGAGAGCTCCAAGTGGGCGGTATACTTGAATGCATGGGAATTCTCTATGGCTATGGGGAAAAGGTTCACATAAGATTAGGATAGGAAACCTTGACCTTCTGTACAGGACTAGGGACCTAGAAAGTCCTGGTCTGGGGCACAATGTTGAGCTGTCCAAAAGAACAACCAGGAGATGCAGTTTTGCACTTGTGAGGGTATTCATTCATTCATTCATTCATTCATTCATGAAAATGGCCTGGAAATATTGCAGGGAAGATTTCAGGTTAGGATTATGGGTGAGGAAAGTGGGACTCCTTACCCAGCTTCAGAGGCTTGGAAATCAGTGGGAGCACACTACCAAATGTAGCAATCACAATGATGACACTGAGCGCTGCAACTGGGCAGTATGCTAGAATGCATACGGGGGTGGGGAGTCAGCACAAAATCTTCAGTACAGCTCTTTCTGCATCTGTTTACTTTTGTTTTTGCTTTCATTTCAATTACAGAACGGAACAAGAGTTTTGAAATGTCTTCCTTTGTGGAAACCAAAGCACTCGAGCAGCTCACAAAATCTCCTGTTGAGTTTGTGGAGTATCTTTGAAATAGAGAAAATATCTTGTAAGAAATTGGTTATGACTAAACAGAGGAGATTGTTGAAGGTTCTCAGTGAGAGTCTATTTGGGTTGAAGGAATCTGGTAAACCATATCAGTTTGGGCACTTATTCTGTAAATGTTTTGCAATAAGTATAAAAACTATATTTCATCCAAAAGTCATTTCCCCTTCTTTTCAGCTTTAGAAAATTGACCCTATAGAACATGGGAACAACAGAAATAAATAGGATTTAAATTTCCAAATAAATGATTGCTATCTTGATGCCTTAGTATTATTTACATTTTTATACCATCCAAAAAGCTGAAGCTCTCTGGGTAGTTCACAATAAAAGAAAGCATTCTGATACATCAATTGCTATAATAAACAATACAAACATTTCATTAACTAATACTAACATTATTATATTTTAGATTACTTACAGAGTAGGCAACAACAGTAATTACAACATCATACCATCATGTTTATAATTATTGGTATTGATAATTTGAAGCCAGGACCAAATGCACCAAATACCTTTTTGTGTGCATTGAGGCATTAATAAACAATACAACTAGGTATCTGACAGCCTGTGGCAACTGATCTCTCCCCTGGTCCACCTTCTCATTCTGGTGTAGTTTTTAAGGCTTCAACAGAGAAAAGGGTGGTGGGGTTTAGTCTCTTCCTCACTGCCTTGGATATTCCTGTTGCACATCTGAAGCTCTCCAAATTGTGCTCTATGTTAGTCCTACAGGGTATGCTGAAGTTTTATGTCTTCAGCTATGCATTCTAGCTAGTTATTTTCCTATGGGCCCATGATGTAGCTCAATCTCAGTTTTTCTTCAGAATTGTGCACATTGATCTGCACAAAGCACTCATTGGCCTGCTTTCTAGCAGATGATGGTAACATCTGTTGAGTGTGGCTCCTGTACCTTTTAAGTCCCATCATCAGTTATTACAAGTAGCATGCACCAGCAAGCTTTGGGTTTAAACCTCCAAACCAGGTGGCTTTTCCAGTTGTATTTTATCTTAACCACTCACAATTTAGGTATAACAAAATGCAGCTGAGCCGGATTTATCCAAAAGGGACACGTGTTGATTCCTCAAATTACATGCCTCAGCTCTTCTGGAATGCAGGCTGTCAGATGGTTGCTCTTAACTTCCAAACTGTAGGTAAGCATCCACATTACTGCTGGGTTTTGTGTATATTTTCTGGACAAATTTGATAAAAGATTTTACAGCATGAAAACTAAGAAAACTAGAAAGTTGTGTGTGTACTTCTGCTGAAATCAGGACACCCTTAAATTTATTAGCTTAAAAATGCAATATATATGGGGTTATGTTACCCTACCTTTAGCCACATACATTTCAGTTGGTTTGCCCTAACATTGGGTGCATCCCATGGTATAAAAAGTTCTGTGTTACTTAAGCAAATTTACCACTATTATTTTTTTTACCTAAATACTGAAGATGTAACCCTTTTAAGATAAAGTACTTATTTAAGTATTTATTCTTTACATGATGTTTAGCATCCTTGTTTAGTTGGATTTGCTCTTTTAAGAAGTGCTAGCTGTATTCCCAATTCTGTAGCAATGTTAAAACTTGGAAAGGTTGTTAATAATAACACCACACTATTTGATTAGAAAAGTAAAATCAGCATTATGGATATACACAATAAGAAATGAATTTTGGAGAGTGATAGTTCATTTGGTTCTCTTCCTTGAATCACAGTAATGCTAAAACCTCAAACGTAGATAGCTATATTTTTGCTTGTAATTCATTGATATATTAAGAGCCTTTGCCAAGATTCCATTATACATAGTACTTTGTGGACTCACATTTTAAAGAAATCCACAGTGTGATGCAACCATCAGAATGACAGCACTTACTATGTATGACCTGGTTCTCATGACATGACAAGCCATCACGGGTGAATAACCACTGTGGGTTGTCATGTCACCTGAACCCAGACTGTTTCCCGCAGGCTGTTTAGTTTTTTCCAACAATGGCACAGGCCGTTTTTGGGTCCTTTTGCCCACGGTGGGTTGTCTTGTATCTGAAGTTGGGTGCGTTATCTCAGTGCAGATAAAAGAAAATGGCAAGTGAAGCACTCAGCAAGAACAACAACTGAATGCTTGCCACTCTTAGTGATTCCGCCCAAATAGCACATTGGAGGAGTCATCACTAGTAGGCCATGCCCCCTTTTGTGCTTCAAATGTGTGCAATATGTTGGTAGTTTTTTAAATTTAAATTTTTCTGCTAGGAGTTGCGCACAAACAGAGTTGCGACTTTTGTGGGTCTACAATGGGAACTGTCACCTGAGCAATATTTTGGGGGGCATCTGCTGTGCAGCAGGTACCAACCCTAGAGATGTTCCAAGTGGGCTTTTTAAACTTTAGTTTGACTTGGCAGCTGTAAAATGGTGAGTTGTCAAGTCAAAACAACATCCTGAGTGTTCTTTGCTCATGAATGAACAGGGGCACCTTTTTGCTTCTTTTTTGCCCTTTCCTCAGGATTTTGAGTCCTCCTCCCCTCCATGGGGCCTGGTGCCCCTAATTTTTCCACCCATTCATGAGACTCTAGCTGTGGGAAGGTGGAAAACTGCACCCCTGCCTCGTGTTCTTTGATACTTGCTTCCAGCAACTGTTGGAAATACGGTTCTTCCTTCCTTTTCACTTTTCTCTTTTCAAAGCAGGGATTGTGGTGATGGTAGTTTGGATAGGAAAATACACAGATGTACACTCTCGTGTATTCAGCACTGCACCAGCAGGAGAAATGGGACTTCGTGCCCCTCTCCTCCCCATTTTAGCCCCTTGTTCTACCCTAACATCTGCCAGGCCTCCAGTTTGAGGAGGAAATGTGAAGAGCTGGGGGACCACAGAGGGAGGGGGTATTCTCCCCCCTCCCCAGTGCACTGATGGGAACGGCTTTTGCCAGCAGAACACCACAATTAGAGCCAATCCACAGGATTGCTATTTAATTATAACTTTAAAAGTAATGTGTGAACTAGCCCTTACAAGTAGCTAAAATACCACATATGAAGGACAGAGTATAGCATTTTTATAGAGTGCTTGCAACATATAGAGAACAGGAGACCTCTAGTGGAATTGGAGAGTTCCGATTTTGTTGGTATGCTGGAAAACTGTAGAGAAAACTCTATGTAATCTGTCCCGCAGCACAAAACACTGACATATTTTATTTTTCTCACTTAGATTTATCTATGCAAATAAACATGGGGATGTATGAGTATAATGGTAAAAGTGGGTACAGATTAAAGCCAGAATTCATGAGAAGGCCAGACAAACACTTCGATCCTTTCACTGAAAGTATTGTAGATGGAATAGTGGCAAACACTTTGTCTGTGAAGGTATGTATTCAGCTGTTAATTTAATATGTTTCTTATGTATCTCCTTGAATGTTGAATATCAGTGTGGTTTCTCATGCTCAACCTCTCAGCAGCTGTGTATATTACATGGAACAGCAACAGTTGTGGCCACAGAGGGGAAAAAAGAGTTGAAACACAGGTTGTGAGACAGAACTACAACTTGACTAACTAACTCATCTAGTATCTAGAGTCTTTAGTCAGGAAGTCATTGTGGGGCACCCAAGCTCCTGGAGTTTCCTAAGGAGATCCCCCAAATGCCCATAGTGGGGTGCTCAAACCTGCTTTCTCCCCTAAGGCTGAGTCACTGCTCAGAATGTAGGAGACAGTTGTGGCTGTTAATCAAAGGATAATACTATTAATGTGACAAAAGAAATTGCTCTGATGACCATAATAGGCCTCCTTAGCCATTCTGATGCTCTAGCAAAAACTCTTTGTCAGCCTCAACATAAGCCCAGAATGGATCTAAAGTGAGCAGTCACCCCTAAAACTGCAGTGGGAAAGAAGGAACTAGGGGAAAAGCCATACTAGTACCTTGTGCCCCATCTTTTACCTCTAGGAGGTGATCTAGAATGGCAGAGTCTTTCTTCTGGCCCACCACCATCAGCCCAAGCCTTCTCTGAAGTCAACATTATATATAAGGAAGGAGTGGACCTAATCACTATATGTGACATTGCCAGGAAATGTTGTCACAAAGACGGTCCGGATACTTCAATTGGTTCAAAATAGAGCTGCCAGGTTGCTGATGGGGACAGAGCGTTATGCTCACATGACTCCAGTCCTCCGACAGCTTCACTGGCTTCCCATTGAAGTCCGGGCCCAATTCAAGGTGTTGGTTATGACCTATAAAGCCCTGAACGGCTTGGGACCTGGTTACCTGAAGGAGCCCCTTGAGATCTGCGGGAGAGGCCCTTCTCCGGGAGCCCTCCGTGAAAGAAATTAGGAGGGTATGTACTCGGAGGAGGGCTTTCTCTGCGGCGGCGCCCAATCTATGGAATGTGCTCCCCAGAGAGGTCCGCCTGGCGCCGTCGTTATTTGTTTTTCGGCGCCAGGTGAAGACCTTTTTACTTAAACGTCATTTTAATTGTTAACAATATTTACATATTTATCTGGCCAGGGTGACTTCTTTTCTTTTCTTTTCTTTTCTTTTCTTTTCTTTTCTTTTCTTTTCTTTTCTTTTCTTTTCTTATGACTTTTCTTTTATAACTTCTTTTATATCGTTTATATTTTTTGATTTATTTTATATTATTAATTTTAATTTTATATTGTTATTTTTATATTGTATTGTAAGCCGCCCCAAGGCTTCGGCAAGGGGCGGTATAGAAATGTTATAATAATAATAATCATCATCATCATCATCATCATGGTATCCTGCCAACATACCTCACCATCTGCAACCACATGCAGCAAGACCAAAAAAAAAAAAAAAGGGCAACAAATATGGCACCCTTTTAAGAATTAGTAAGTAGAAGTTACGAGGCATTGCCAGGACTGTCTCCTTCTTGAAGGTGTATCATCCATTGAATTTATATTGTGATGATGCACATGTAGAGGCCATGGAGCATGGGAAATTGCATACAATTGGCTATAATCTGGTTTACTTATGCACATGCATGCATTTGTATTGCGGGCACAAAAAAGAAATGGAGATCACACATTGATCTGTGTGCTCTTTGGCCATTGTCCAGGGAGTCATATTTTCCCATTGGATTTATACTATTTTGTTTTTATCAGCTATAACCTCACAGAAGATTCTAGCTATATTTGAAATACTTCTCAATTCAGAGTGAGGGTTGTTCTGAGTTTTGTTATAACACTGTTTAAAGAGAGTAATGATTGGAAACAGTGAATGTGTTTCTCCCTCTCTCTCCCCCCTGTATACACACACATACTTGTTAAGTAAGCTCTTATTCAAAAGTGAAATTACATATTGGCACTTCTTTATCAATGCTGATAGAACTCTTTACAAAAAGCATGTGGAAATGTACACAACTTTCTGGATAGCAGCCATTGCAATCAATTGCACAATGTGTATGTCTTTCACATATGTCTAGGTTGCTTTTTTTCCAGAGCAGCTTGTAGAACATAGCCAAAGTTTGAATACCTTACAAAATTAAGAAATAGTAACAACAACAACAATAGCTGTCACTGTTTCAAATGCTAAAATAGATGTTCAAGCCAGGCAAATAAACAGTGAAGAGAGGGAGCCTCAGCCTGAAAGATGAACAATTGTTTTTAGCTCAAGGCAACTCAAAATAAACCGTATTAAGGACTTTCCTGAAAAAAGAGAAGGAGACAGCTATACATTCTAGGGAAGGGAGTGATAAAAATAAGATGCCGCCACTGCCATGGTCCTGTCTCTAATGCTTATCAATCCAATCAAGACATTGGTGTTGGCAGGCATATAAGAAAAAACTATTATTGAATAATGTCTCTATAGTTTATAGACACTATTTTTGCTTAATAGAGAGTTTTTTATAGCTTCAAAGCTTAGAAAGATAGATAGGTTGGGGGACTTTTCTATTATCAGAGGCCAGATTGGGTTACCATAGTCTCACAGGCTATGGCTGTTTGAGCAAGGGGCATTCTTTCATAAACTGGTATTTCTAGACAAGCCAAAGCATAGACCAGGGGGCTCATAACACACTCAGGTTATCCTAAAAAAAAGTCACTTTTATCTAAATCTGTGTTGAGTGATCTATCTACAAGTAATCCCATATGCTTAAATTTTGCATTTCCAGATTATTTCTGGACAGTTACTTTCTGACAAAAAGGTTGGCACTTACGTAGAAGTGGATATGTTTGGTCTGCCTGTGGACACAAGGCGGAAAGCTCTCAAGACCAAGACATCTCAAGGCAATGCTGTGAATCCGGTATGGGAAGATGAAACCATAGTTTTTAAGAAGGTGGGTTTTTGCTGTTTTCTCATTCTCCAAGTGAATAACATTAGGCAGTCTTACCCATTGCCTGTATTGAAGTCAGGAAATTACATCTTGTTTTTTTAAAACTCTTTGCCTCAATTCTGGTTCATCTGAGTCAGTGCGATGAGTTTTCTTCATTTTATTAATGTTGGATTGAGCCTTGGCAAGTAGACATGGATCTCTTTGACTTATCCTTATTACTCATTTGCTCGAGGAAATTGGCACTAAAAAGCAAGACTCTCCAATTGCATTCCTGACATAAAATCCAAATCTGGCAAAGTGGGAAGGATCTGATCTTTGTTACTTGGGCTGCAATCCTATATCCATGTAGTTGGGAATAAGTTCCACTGAGCTCACCTGTGAGGGGACATGTAGAGGATTAAATGATTGAACATGTGCTAATTTCCACATGTGGTTTATACCCTACAACTACAGCTGTTGTTGTTATACATTTACATTCCGCCTTTCTTCCCTTTGCAAGGGATGCAAAGTGGCTTACAAGGTTCTCCTCCTCTCCACTGGATCCCACAACAAGGACCCTGTGATGAGTTAGGTTAGGCTGAGAATTTGTGAGTGGCCAGAGTCACCCAGTGAGCTTCATGAGTACATGGGGGAGTAGAGCCCAAATTTCCTAAATCACCACCCAGACAGTCCTAAATAGGACTATTGGTGCAGTTTATAAATTTTTAAAATAAATAAATAGATAATAAGTTATAGTCCAACACTCTAACCACTGTGTGAAGAAGAAGAATAGAAATGACCACCAATTTTGACAGCTTTCAAAAGGGATTGGACAAACTTAAGTTAAAGAAGGGTCAATGGCCATTAGTCCTGAGGGCTAGATGCTGCCTCCAGTGACAGAGACACTATGCATTTGTACCTCATTTTCTGGGGAATACGCTTTGGAGGGTGCTGTTGCATTCATGTCCCGTTTGAGGCATCCTGTGGGCAGTTGTTTGGCCACTATGTGAACCGAATACTTCACTAGATGGACCTTTGGTGGGATTCAGCATGGATCATCATACATGCTTATGTTCCTAATACTGCTACTACCAGGGCTACTGCTGCTAATATATATGGCACTTTCAAGTGTTCAAAGCATTTTTACATTATGGTGTAGGTTGACTTGCAATAGTATTTCCATATTGCAGACAGAGGTAAGGCTGAGAGAATGGCTTGCTTTTGGCCACTTGTTGAGTTATTAGCTGAGAAAAGATGAACCAGCAATGTTTTCAAAAATACTCTTTTAACAACTGCACTATAACTGCTCATCCAATGAGATGTGAAAAGGGTGCTCTGAACTGGCAGTGCTCACATGTACACATGCCACATACTATGGGATGGGAAGATGATATAAAACTTTTTTTTTATCACGAGTTTCAAAAATTAAAACCAACCCCCCCAAAAAACCCATCAAAATGTTACAGCTTTCTTACATGACATTTGAATGAAACCTAGTACAATGAGTACATATGTACTATATATTTAATGAATAGCAAAATATACTATTGTTTTTAGAAATAGTTGTGCACAGGCTTCAACAATGGCAGCACAAATATGTAGATACTTACCCATTCAGAGATTATGCCTCCTCAAGACCACCCATTTGAAAATCTGAAGCATTGTCAAGCCCTCAACCCATTGTTTTCTTGAAGGTGGCCATTTGTCCTTCCAGTGTTGTGATGCTAATATTTTAGTTGTCAAAAGGGCATAGAGAATCCATTTAAATTGACCCTTCATTAACTTCCAAGAAATGGGTAGCTAGTTAAGAACATGTGAACCCCTAAATAGCAAAACAAACTTTCCATCTCAAAGTTTATTATACTATAACTTTTCCCCCAAAAAGCAGCTATTGGACATTGCCAAAACATGTGAGCGAGAGAAGCTTACCACCAGAGACCTTACTATTATGCTTATGCAAGAATGAGCTGTAATTTGAGAGGCATGGTGTCTGGGGAGAAATGCCTGAATTTGTGTTAGTGCTCAAAATGTTTTAAATATTATTTAAATTCTGTATTGAAATGTTATGCTCTTTTCCTGTAGAAGGCTTCTTGTATTTTCTTGTATTGCATAAATTGTTGTTAACTTGCCATGCCCAACCTGGAAGAAGAATCACTGAAAAAGAAGAGGGGCAAGCCAGCACAGTGGGCCCCAGAGAGAGCAAGGCAGTGAAGGTGATGCTACCGCTGACAGCCTTCCACTGGAAGCGCACCCTAGGCCATCCTGGGCTGTTCCTGGACTTTCCCAGGGTTTCGGAGGCTGAGCCAGAAACAAGTTGCCCCTTGGAAAGGAGGAAGATCAAGTGCAAACAGTAGTTTAGCCAGAAGAAGTCACAGTGTGGGGCCTCCCTTAAAAGCAACCTAATTAGCCATCTGTGATGATTCACAGACAGCTGTACGTTAGCCCAGCCAGAGCCTGCTGTCTGTTGCAGACAGCAGCATTTCAGCTCAGTGCTCTGCCTTGATCTTCAGGACTGAATAGATTCCTCGACCTTCAGCTGTCTCTTGGACTACTCTCTGCCTGTCCTGGGCACTGGCGTGATAAACTCAATGGCCTGATCTCTAGACTGGACCGCTTTCTTCCTTCAGTTATTTCTCAAAAACATCTTAGCCTATACTTGGCACTTGCTAAGACAAGAGCAAGATGTACAGGGGTTATAAGCATACAGAGCAAGTAGAAATGTGCCCTTCACTTGCTTCATACTAATTAAGAGGATTTTAAAGATCTCACAATAGCTTGCTCTCTTATCTAAGAAGTGAGAAGAGATCTTTTGGTCATCTCATTAGTACCGATATACCATATAAAATAGGCCAGGCAAAGTCTGTTGCCGCAAATTTGCTGAGGAACTAGATGTCACAATGCTGCAAACAACCTAGATGACTATTAATATTAGCTTGGTGAATACTGCACTTCATCATGCCAGTGTTGTACATAAAATGCATTCCAAGGCACCTATTGTTTTTAAAAATATATTTTTTCAGGTCGTCCTGCCTTCACTAGCATGTCTGAGGATAGCCGTCTATGAAGAAGGAGGAAAATTCATTGGTCATCGGATATTACCAGTTTCAGCAATTCGACCAGGTAGGGTACCCTGGGCCTCATATTACTGAAATGAAGTGTGAGCCTTCAACTTAGGGAATGAGACAACAGAGATAAGTTGGCAGATTCTCTGCACTTCTGGAATTCCAAGGTGCGATCACTGTGAGGGACCTAGTATGCTAGAACTTTCCCAGTTATTAACATGTATGTAAAAATCCCAGCTTCTCCTGAATCAGCCCCTACCTCTCACCCTTCTCACTTGCCCTGCCTGCTTCTACACCATCTGATGGATGGTGTGCTCAAATTGCACTTGGCTGAGACCCAGAAATAGACACTGGGGGATTCCGTAAGTCACCTTCAAAGGAACATAACACTTAGCATCCACCCACCCCAGTTTGGGTAAAATGAGACCTCAAGGATAATTCTTGGCTTTGCCTCAGCCATCCCCAGAAGAATAATCTCTCCCACATGCCATGTCTGCAAGTCCACAAATTCTCAGGACTTTCCCTGTCTTCCCTTCATTTATTTTGCAATAAAGCTGTGGCAGAGGGATCAGCAGCAGGAGCATGCAGAGCAGGGGTGTGAATTCTCAGGCCTAGAGACCAAATCTGCTCTCCTGGGGTTCATCCACTGACCCCTTTCCCCTTACCAACATCTGTGTGGTGGTTTTCTGACTTTTGTGCAGTTTCCCCCTGTTCTAAAAAGTTGAAATGCCTCTGCTAAAGTTACTGGCAGTAAGAGCTTTAAGCTTTATTTATTTGATTGATTGATTGATTGATTGATTTATAGTCCACTTTTTCTTAGACTGAAATCAAAGTATCTTACATCATTCTCCTCATCCTGTTCTCAGTCTTATCCCCACAACAGCAACCCTGTGGGGGGCTTGGCTGAGAGCCTGTGACTGGCCAAAGTCATGTAGTTGACTCCAAGGCTGAATGGGGACTAGAACCCAGACCATCCGAGTCCCAGTCCAGCACTTTTAACCATTTTTGTTTCTGGCCTCAGTCCTTTGGTCTCAGAGACCACCCACTACTGGAATGCAGCCCCAAAGAGATTCTCTGAAATGGAATTGGGTTCTCAGGTTCAAACAGGTTTCCTAGCGTGATGTAAGGCGCTTTTAAAGTCCATCCTTCCCTCCTACTCTCTGGCATAATGGATGCTCTAGGACAGGGCTCCTCAAACTTTTTCATCAGAGGGCCAGTTGAAAGGTGCCGGTGCTGGGCACGGGCCAGAAAGGTGGTGCTGGAGGTGTGCGCGGGCTGGCGAGGGGGTGGGAGTGGCACATGGAGGCAAGTTGAGGCAGGGGTGGGGCACGAGGCAAGGCGGGAGCGGCATGCGCCGTGAGGCGGGCGCACGAGGCAGCGGCTTGCTCACTTGGAGATCGTTTTCTCCAAGTGAGCGAACCGCTGCCTCCCCGTGCAGGGCAAGGTGGGCGGTGGTGGGCGCATGTGTGGGCATGGTGGGCCGAATCCGGCCCCCAGGCTGTAGTTTGAGGACCCACGCTCTAGGGCATTGATGGTGAACCTTTTAGAGACTAAGTGCCCAAACTGCAACCCGAAGCCCACTTATTTATCACAAAGTGCCAGTACTGCAATAAAACCTGAATACTGAGGTTTAGTTTAGAAAAAACAACTCATACATTAACATCTTTTGTCTTAAAAGAAAAACACAATAACAGAGCTTTCAATGATACAAATAACTTTTTATTGAATGGTAAAAGTTTGCATTTGGCTTGCGTTTGCACAATTAATGTGAACTTTGCTGTTGTATGCATGCTGATAATTTGTCAAACCTTGGCTCATACTTTGTTAGTTTGAGAGCAACACATGCAGCACTCAGGTCATCTGTTAGTCTGTTTCTTGTATCAGATTTGATATAATTTGTTAATAAAAATGAATATATTAAAACCCACAGCCAGTCCAAGCATATGTGTGTATCTCTCTCTCTCTCTCTCTCTCTCTCTCTCTCTCTCTCTCTCTCTCTCTCTCTCTCTCTCTCTCTCTCTCTGTCTCTCTGTCTCTCTGTCTCTCTGTCTCTCTGTCCTTGGCAGTGCACTGACCAGCCATGCAAAAGCTTGAACAAGTCGCGGCTAATGAATCGCGGCTCGTGACATCATTGCCTGCCACTGCTACTCCTTTCCAAGCACACACATGGCCCCTCTGTGCACTGTTATCTGATGCTCGGCTCCTGGGGCGATGCTGGAGCGACTTGGCTCACGTGCTGACAGAGAGGGCTGTGTGTGCCCACTGTGGCACACGTGCCATAGGCTCGCCACCACTGCTCCAGGGCATTGCGTGATGCCTGGCTTCCCGCATCTGGTTGCTGCTTTTGCCAGATCAGCCCAGGGCTGGGAGAAAGGAGTAAGTGGGAGGACCAAATAGGCTATGTTGCCAGTAGGTTCTGTTGGGGCATTTGGGGCCCAGCCTCTGCCCAGGAAACTAGGGCGACAATAGTATCTACTCAGAGCTCTGACTCTAGGGGGATGTGGCGGTGGAGAGGCCTCCATTGATAAAGGGATCAACTTGATCCTTCTTGACAGTATATTATTTTCCGTGGCCTAGAGTTCAACTCTTCTACCCATATTAACCATTCAACAATATCCCATGCTCCATCTGTTGCACCTTCTACACTGTTGTTGTCTTTTGGAAAAATAATAGAGGTGTCCTGCTTTTCTTTTCAGGTTATCATTATATTTGCTTGAGGAATGAAAGGAATCAGCCTTTGATGTTGCCAGCCTTATTTGTATACATAGAGGTTAAAGACTATGTGCCTGATACTTATGCAGGTAAATATAAAACTGTGAGGGTGAGCTTCAAATTTAACTTCAGAAAAGTATTGTTATGTGTTGCCTGAATTTAATGAAAATGTATACATTGGGCAGTAGCAACAAGCAGCATTAACCTCCATAGCCATCAAGGAACTCTGGGAGTAAGGAAGAAGTTGCTGTTGGTCCTCCAGTGTGATCTTCCATCACTCTTCCATTTGTCTAAAGTCCTGCACAGTGTCCCTTGATTCTGTGGTTTACTGTTTCTTCCAAGACAATTGATAACCTTCCCTGCTCTCTTTTGTATGTTTGAGATTTCAATCATTTTAACTTGATTCAATCATTTTTATTAATAATACTTCTCTTGACTGTCTATAGCCTCAGGGGCAAGGTTATACTTGGTGAATAAACACTGATGGGGGAATCATTGGATTGGGAAGATCTGAACTCAAATCCCTGATCAGTCAGAGAATGCAGAGGGTTTGTGTTCTCTTGGCCTCAACACATTTTCCTTAAAATTACAATTTAATACTATCTACGATCTGGATTTTATAAGCAGTGTTCTGGGTCTACCACATGGGTAGGCAGAAGCTTGATCCCCAGATGTTTTACCCCCAAGACACCCCCAAGATGCTGGCAGAGGCTTCTGAGAACTAAAGCCCAAAACTTCTGAGGAACCACTTTCTGCAGGCTCCTGGTCTACTTTATTGTGGTCAATTTAGATTGCAAACTTATATGTATATTGGAGAAAGTCTGATTGACTTTGATTGAAGGCAGTGGGATTAATTCGTATGCGGTGCTTGAATTTGATTATTCTAGCAAACATAAGTTTCTCATTAGAAATGCAGGCTAAGAAAATGCAAAACTAGCTTCAAGTCAGGAAGATGATCATTCATTTTGCGTAAAACATGTGTACTGCTATCTGGGTAGGAAATCAAGGTTCAGTCATCCATCCGTATATCATTTCCAGATGTCATTGAAGCATTATCCAATCCAATCAGATATGTGAACTTGATGGAGCAGAGAGCAAAGCAGCTGGCAGCATTGACTCTGGAGGATGAAGAAGAAATAAAAAAGGAGGTGAGAATTTGACCTTGGTAGGATGGTTGTGATAGCTAAGGGATGTCTCTGATGTATGGCAGATAGCAAGATGCTCTCAGAGAATGTAGACAGAGGCATACAAAAGCGATGTCTGCTCTAGTCAATTTTCAGATTTTGTTTTATTTGCCATGCATCTTCTTTGCAGAGATGGAGCAGGTGACAGAAATATGGCTATGATATATGGAGTTACTCTAGTCTACACAGGTTATATAAGCCCTAGTGCTGATATTTCAAAGGGAGAAGTCGTTGACATTTCCTCACCTGTGATAATGTTCTTAAATAGATGTTCAGAGCCTGGAGAAAAGTCATGTTTTGTGCTAGTGCTGAGGGATGAATTGCTATAACAGGGACGGGCAACTTCTGCCCTTCCACAGGTTTTGGCCTGCAAGTCCCATCAGCCTTATGAACATAACATGGTGAGAGGTCATGGGAGTTGTAGGCCAAAACAGATTTTAGGACCACAGGTTGACCAAAACTCCACTATGACAACCTAAAGTTTAGCTGGCAGCACAATACTATGCATGTTCTCTCAGAAGTCAGTTCCATTGTGTTCAGTATGAGTCACTACCATGTAATAGATAGAGACAAAGGTAGAGATACAGGTGCAGGTAGAAGCAGAGCAGAGGTATGGTTACCATCAGTGTGCCTCACATCCTCTTACAGGGCATTCCAAGAGGTGGAGCCATAGATTTTGGACTGGCTCTTCTTCTTAAATCATATCCTTCAGTATAAATACAATCACAGCTAAGATAGTCATTCTTATCCAGTTTGTAAGAAAGTGGTGATCTTTCACTTTGGGAGTGGTGGGGAGGGAAGAGGAGAAAGCCAATTCTCTGCTCAGACCTGATCACTAGTTGCATGTTCCAGAATTCATTTTCAATCTGTCACACCACAAAAGGGCTTCAGTTTGTGAAATTGCCACATTATGAGAACTGTAGTTTCAGCAGTTACGTTCCACCCTACAGATACAATTCAGCTGTGTGATGCTTCGAGTGAAAATCTATTCAATATATTCTGCTCTTATCCGAAAAGATAAAGTGCAGTCACTTGAGGTCTAAATTCCAAGGCCTTCCAACTCACAATATAAGAATTTCCTCCCTATGCAACAAGCCAGGCACACGCAGCCAGAGACTTTAGATGCTATACATAAGACTTGGTTGCCTTTCTTCAGAGAGTTACATTGCAAGGTATAATGTGCATGCTTCCATGTTTCTGGCACTAGTTTATATCAGAGTACATGAACCAGCTTCCTCATTAGGCAGTAACACTATAGCCACAAACCTGCAGGAAACTATCAGCTCAGTAAATGCCAAATACCATTGAACAAGGCACCACACACCCCATGTTGACCGTTATGCATAAATAAAAACACAGTTCAGAAGTTGAGAGAAACCACCCTCCTTCCCAATTTGTTCTTGTTAAACCTTTTAGTAGCTACTCATATTGTAAGTTCAGTGGCTTCCCAGAAAAATATCTCGATTTCTTCTCCTGTACTTAGACCTTCTCATAGCCAGGACCACAGCGTTTTTGGAAGTGATAGGCTAATCTCTTTATCTTGCAACCCCATATCTTGTAAGCCGGGGGTAACAATCTAGTGTCCTCCAGAAGTTCTGGACTGCAGCTCTCATCAACCTTAGCATTAACTATGCTGACTGGGTCTTATGGAAACTGTAGTCAAAAACATTTGTTGGGTAAAATGTTGCTTACCCTGGCTGTAATTCTTTCGGCAAGTAAGAATATACAGTTCTAGGCCCAAAATGAAGAGGATTCAGACATTAGTATCACATCTAATTTGCATGTAGGACAAATAAATTAATCCTGATCCAGACAATGCAGTGCTTCCTATGAGATACAACATTATTGATCACTAAACAACCCAGGCAACAACATAAAAAACCTCTGAAATACGATAGAGTATGTTTACCTGGCTTCTAGTTATAATGGTTTTCTTGCCTGATTTTTGTCATTTCACATCTGTTTTGCAAATGTCACAAGCAGACATGCCAACATGACAGTGGAGTGGAACATAAGGATCTACCACACTGCTGAATGTTTTCTTCAGTTTGGTCATTTTGAAGTTGGCTCAAATAAGTTTGAGTTATGATTGCATGTTTGTCATTCTACATGTACCTAGGTCTGATTTATGCTGAGGTTTTACTTCCCAAACAGATCTTCCTGCTCTTGCTACATTAGGTACCATCAAACCACTTGATGTGCAATAGAATGCATGCTAAATTTATTACATGGTGCAAGGCGCAGTTGTATTTCAGTGCCAGGTGAGGGATCCCTCTTCAAACAATTGATGTGACTGTGAAGCAGCTGCATTTGATAATTATAGGAGAAATACTCCTGTAAGGAGCTTCTCCTCCCCAAAGAGCTGAAGTGTAGTTCCAGGCAAAATGATCTTTGTAATCAGTGGCCACAGAGGAGGCTGTATTTCTCCATCAGCTAAGCAATTTACCCTAGAAACCTACACTAGTTCTCATTTCTATGCCACTGTTTGCTTCAGCAGATGCACCAAAATAGTTTATATAACATACAGATACATGTTTCTACCCCCATATCCTCCATATCCCGTATCATGCCCTCCCCAGTCCCTAAGGACCCCAATTTGGAGGATTACCAGAACCCCCTGAGCCAGGCATCACAGTGGACCTGCTGGGGACCTGGATTGGGGTGATCGGGGTGGTGGATTGGGTGATCCTGGACCTGTGGAGGGGACAGCTGTCATCCCAAACCCTCACAACATAGCCTCTTTGCTGAGTCAGAGACACTTTCTGGGCAGTGCAATTATCAAAAAGTTAAGGTTCATCCAACTGCCATATATAGAAATGTCTACCTGAAGAGTAGGGACTTCTGGTGGGTATCTGTTTATTATAATTTTAATCTGTCTGAGGACATTGTCTGAACAGGTTGCAAGCAATTAAAAGCATAAAATACAATTCAAACAATGATGTAAAATACTGGGCAATTATTTTAAAGAATACAATATAGTACAACACAACACAGAAGAGGACCACACAAGCAACAACAGAATAGCAAGAATTGCCAGAAAAATCTAGAACCAGGTCTCCAAAATGTCTGGGAGAAAAGAATGTTCTTTGCCATATGCCCCAGAGATAGTGTCGGCACCAGGCAAGCTTCTTTGTGAGGGACATTCCATCAATAAGGTGCCTCAACTGAAAAGGCCCTTTTGCATGACCAAGAACCTGCTTGTGAGTAGACCATCCCTCCGGTGGCACTCATGGCCTGCAGTTGCACTCTGGGTGACTGTCTGAAGGATCAGGCTTGAAAGCCAGGTGCTTGATTAATACCTGAGTACCAGCTCCCTAGCTTGCCTTTCATTGCCCTTTATTTGACTTTGGACTGAATATTGGCCTTGCTTTGGGACTATTCTGATTAGATCCCTGGAACTCTGACCCAGCAGCACCATAAACCGAAGCCCAAGAGCTGAGTTCCTGTCATATCACCGTGGCCAGTCTTGTTGGTCTCCCGTCCTTCTCTCTTCTGTGACTGGTAGTGCTTAGGTGATCTGATTAGGTGGCTGCATGTCTCTTCCTCCCTTGCTGCAGGTCTTTTCATGGTCCAAGAGCAAAGAGGAATGAGCGAGGTAAATCAGCAGCCATGCCTCACATAAGCTTCTGAGGAAGGTAGCTGGATACTCCAACTTCCTGGCTGAGCACACCTTCCTCTGAACCCCAGTCTCCCATGCCCAGCATTGCAGATCATTTTACTGTCCAAGGAAGAAAGCCAGGCTCAGTAGCCTTGTTTTGCAAATGGCACTCCATGAGGTGATGCTTGCATGCTTTTCTGCCTGGTTGCATGCGCTTTCCACTCCGAACCCACAGCAGTTGTTGCTTCCTTGTCCAAGAGCAGAAAGGCAGGCACAGGGTACAGCAGCAACTCAAAGATGGTTCTATTTGATCTCAGTGTCTTGTTAGGAATAGCTATGTAAACCCCTCTCTGGTTTTAGAAATGGGTCAGTGTCATGTGAGGGATGTTCCTATATGGAAGGCAGGATCCTGTGATTCTGTACTTCCCCATCAAGAGGTAACACCAGTGTCCCAAGTCATCAGCTTGCAAATAAAAGCAGGTATAGATTTATCCATCCATTTAATTTCATTGGATGCCTTATAAAACAGATTCTCTAGAGACCAGGATAAATAAATGATCACTTTCTTTCCCATTGACTGCATACAAGATGGGGTGTTTTGTAAGGAATATAATGTTCCGAATCTAATTGCATTATGTAGGTTTTGAAAAGTTAAACTGGAACAGTATGAATCCAATTCTAGCATGTAATGTTCATGGGTGTGAATACTGAACTGGTTTTTGGCATAATTTATTCAGGCTGTGATCATTTAACCATTCTCCCTCCTCCCCATTACTGAATTCATAAACTTATATGAAAGGCCAAAATGTTTAAAGAACTGTAGCTACCCCTCCCCCATTCAATTTATTACTAACAGAGTGGAAATGAAGGCTGCCTGAGAAACTAATCCAGCAAGGAACCATGGCAACAGGTCCTCCTTATATAAATTTTCATTTCACAAGGAGCAAACTATTTAGCAGTGCTCCGAGATGGTATTCCTTCCTCCCTGCTCCATTAGTGCAGGGGGTATCTTCAGTGTACCTTGAAAATATGACCACTAATAGAGCAATTATAAGATGATCAGTGTGTAGTAAAAAGAGAGAGAGAGAGCTCTAAACATGGGCATTGAGAGCTGGAAAGGAAGGAAAGGCTGTGGGGAATGCTTAAACAGGTTGCACATTACAGACATTCACCCAAGCATGCGGCAAGGATGGAGGTACTGTTTATGTAAGCTTATCTTGTGGCATATGATTATGGGTGAGTTCCCCTGGGAACAATTCACGTGTCTTGGGGGTAAATTAAAAATCTGACTGCTGGGACTTTAAGCTGGAGAGAGAGCGGGGGCAGGGGGGATCATTCTGTATTATGTTCTGTTTGGTGCTAGCTACTGTGTTCTACTGTTAGCTCAGGTGTCCATCTGCATAGTTACTATAACTCAGTAGTGTACTGAGATATATAAGCTGAAATTGCATTATGTGGACTTGGTAGCTGGCATAAACCTTGCTTTCTATGGATGGATATTAAATAGGGGTGTAAAGAAGTTGAATAAAGATTTAGATACAAGCAATCCCAATACATGTATTTATTGAGAATCCCACAAGCAGGTCTAATTAATAGTGTGAATATGGATGAATTAAAATTAAGGGTTTGATGTTACAAGCACGATATAGTTTACATTCCTTTTAAAGTGTTTTTGCAGATAATATATATAACGTTGCAGACTGAACTGTTTCTTAAAAACCAATTTACATAGAGCAGTTTACTAGTTACTGCAATACCAGATTTCTTGTATTAATTCCAGTTTTCCATTTTTGCAAAATACTTTCCCCATTATAGAAATCAGAGCTGAAAACCAGTCATGGCAGCTAGAGATGCTTGGTTTTTTATTTACTTTGAAGCCAAAACAAAGCTTGCTTTACTGCCAGGTACTTGAACAGAACCCATCTTTCTGAACCAGCTTACATTTTGAATAAATCATAGTAGGTGAAAACAGATGAATGCAGTGTTCATCATAGGAGGGAGAATCGATGCACAAGTTGTTGGTCCAGTGCCCTAATCCCAAGGGCACACCTTCTTGCATATTTATGGAATGTGTTTGCTATTGTTAGGCAAATCAGGGAGATGTCCCTTCAGAAGCTCACAATGAACCAAAGCCTGCACCAGCTGAAAATGGAGTAAACCACACCACTTCCCTCACCCCCAAACCATCTACTCAGGTTGTTTCCAGCCAACCAGCACCAGGTAAGAAGTAGACTATATTGTATCATTTCTATAATGCCTTTCTAAGAAAAAATGCAACTGAATAGCCTTTTTGTTCTGATGCTAGTGCACAAAAATTAATAGAACAAATAGAAATTAGACTAGCTGTTTTTAATTTAGAATTATATGAGACACCTACATTTATCTGTGTTTGTGTCTGCTTGAAAGTCTGTACTTGTAATATAAAACCCTCTTTCTTCTTTGCTACCTTCCTATATGCAAAAAGTGTGTCCTGGCAGAGCTATTGAAAGTGGTTCAAAGCCTGGTGGAAGTATGCTATTTACACCTTCAGGTTATTGTGCTTTGTTGACCATAAGAAGCTGACTGTGTTGGGTTTTGGTATGGCAACAGATTCAAGTCCCCATCAACCATGAAGCCTATTGTGTGGTTTTGAGCAGGTCATAGCCTCCCAGCCTCACCTACTTCCTTGGGTTGTCATGTGGTTAAAATGTACCAACTTATCTATTATTACTCTTATTATTACATAATACATTTCTGTACCACTTGTAGCCAAAGCTCTCTGGATACTTCATAACAGTTAAGTCACACATCTAGATTTCAATCAGGCCAAATCTGCTTAGTTTCCAAAATTAGGCAGGATCAGGCACTAAAGGCTATATATGAAAGCTATAAGGAGCTTGGAAGAAGTATAGAATGTGCAAACAAATAAAACTTGGGTTTCAGAGTCTATCTCCATAGCAGATTATTCCAGATCCAGCTTTTGCTCTGCTCCTGTTTCTAGGCATCACCACTCCTGATTTTGTTTTGTGTAGATTTTGTTTGTGTAATTTCACAGGCATCCATTTGCATGTGGAACTTCTGCCCACATTGACTGATAAGAAGGTCAGCTGGCAGAATTTTGATTCTTTGCCAGCTGAAATTAATAAGTATCTCAAGAAGGGCAAATCACCTGAGGACATTGAGATGTGATGCCCTCTGTTTCCTGCTTGAGGCACCAGCCCCTGCTGTTGTTTTTAATCCAGCCTGCTGTTTGCACCTTTCTCTTGGCAGCAAAGACTAGCTAGGACTAAGAGTGGTTGGAGCGGCCAGGGGCCACTCTTCTGTCCTTTGGCAGAGAGAGGAATGTGGAAGTTGGAAAGGTTTGCAGAACTCATTACGTTGTATGGGGAAGGTAATAGTGAGGACACTCCCTGTGCCAGATCAAGACTTATTATGCCTTTTCACCCAAAAGACTTGTGGTGCTCTTGGAATCATGCCTTGTACCTGGAAGGCCTAGTTGAGACATGGGCCAAAAGGGCTTCCTCTTAACCCAGCTGTACCATCCCGGGCTCACAGACAGCAGGCGTTCTCTCTCCTTCAGGCATGAAGATCAATGTGTGGTCACAATAGCCACTCTCTCTCCTTCAGGCAGAAAACAGAATGAGACCTCATTGGCCAGTCTTGTCTTTTTTAGGTAGGTCACAATGGCCATTTTTTCTGTCTTTCAGTGACTTGGTTTGCACAACATGACAGCCAGCCACTGAAGGGTGTCACCTGTTGGTTGTCATTGGTTGTCTGTAGGAACCTACTCGTAGTTATCAACCATGGTGGGCATGTCATGAGCACAGCTGACTGGAGCCAGGGGTCAGACTAGATGGCCTTGGAGGCTCCTTCTGACTTACTCTGTTTCTATGTTTCTAATGAGTTCTTCTTGTGGTTGCCAACCACAAGAAGAACCAATGGTTTCTTGCAAGGTTTCTTTGACCCACAACCTATCATTGGTTAAATCTGATGAGGAATTAGTGTGAAAATCAAAGGGAACATTGCAGCAAGCTGAAACCAACTGACTACTGGAAAGATCCTGGAGCCAGCTTATGATTGTGACTGATGCTGGGTGGTGCTTCACAGGTTCAACCAACTCATCCTGGCACATGACCTCAATGGGTTGCAATACATATGAGCCCAGCCATTGAAAAAGGCAGCTACCATGGCAGAGATGGGTAAAATCTCCACCTTTCTCATTCGCTCTCATTGGGGCAGATAGAAACAGGAATGTTCAGGCCTAGGCTGTTCAGCAGTGAGATGGGCAGCAGCTGGGTTTGGATACAGTGGCCTCTCTCTCACTGAACTGAACATGTGGGCAGAAAAGCAGTAAGCAAAAGGGAGAAGAGTTGGCAAGCAGGTGCTCCTGGCTTTTCTAAGACTTCCGCATTCAGTGGATCTACCAGGGTACCAAAAGCAGTGCAGTGCACAGAGGCAAGCAGAGGGCTACAGATTCCATCATCTGCCAGAGCTGGGCATGCTTTAACAAGCAGGCTGAGAGGTTGCAGTCCGGCAGAAAAATGACAGGCACCAGCATGGCGCTCCCAGTTCTAACATGGCTTTGCTTTTAGGTTAGGAGAGAGGGAGCAGATGGCACCAAGCGGTGGGTGGAATACAGAAGTGGCAATGCATGGACTCGCTGGCAGCTCAGATGGAGCAGGGCTTCACCTGGCCCCAGAGAGTTGGCATGACACTTGGTGAACACAAGAGTAATAGAATCAGAGAAGGTAGAACACTTGCAGTGAGGAGCAAAATTTGGGCAGACAGAAGGGGAGGCAGAAACTGAAAGGGATATTTTGCAGAAATGCAAATGCTCTGTCTGGCTTTAGCAGTGCACCATGCACCCCAAGTGCAGGGCTGCTCAGGAAACCCAAGCAGCCTTACCAGCCACTAGGGAAAGATAAATATTAAGAAACATAGGGGACAGGGTGAAGCCAGGGGTGGGGGAAGTAGTCTCCAGATCTTGTTGGAGTGCAAGTCCCCTCAGTCAGCGAAGCCAATGGTGAGGGATGGTGGGAGCAGCCACCCAACAACATCTTGAGGGCCACCCCTTCTCTATTCCTGACATAGGCAAACAGACAGAGACAGTAGAGAAGATTAAGTGGAAACTGAAAATTGCAATAAAAACAAGCAACACCTGGGTTAAACTAAAGAGAATGGAATAAAACACACAGTATAAAAATGAAAAGGTGTGTCATGAGGTTTTGATGACAGATGCAAACCTGGAGTGGGGATCTGACAGGCAGCTCTGCACACAGAATTAGCAGCGGGCAGGAGCGCAAAGCAACCATTCCCATCTTAATAAATCCCACAGTGCCATGTTGTTGGGTATTGCCAAGTGACGGCACCATTGGACATTTCCCTGCAGCGGGATTGTTCTGTGTGACACTCTGCTGCCTGGTGGCTTTGCAATGCCACTTGGCCAGCTGGAGTCCCTATGATCATCTCCTCTGCTCCCCCGGCTCAAACTGCCCCATAGTGATGCAACCCTGCCCTGTAAGAAGCAGCTGTGAAGCAAGACTCAAAACTAAGTTTCATTTGTGTTTTGTTTAGCTTCAGTTAATCCAGTCTTGTTTTAGTGATTGCATTGATGAAATCCTTGGGGACAAATGTGGAATGGGAAGCAACATGTGGATAAGGCAGTGGCACTCCAAAATTTTAAAAGGTCAAGAAATAAAGGCGGCTGGTGGCCCGAAGGAGGACTACAACTATTGCTACTATTGCAAAGGCTTTCTGAACTCTGCCCATCCTTACCAAACTTACAAACTCACACACACGAACATTGTGCCTTTTAACACCAGGTTGGAAAGTTGCTGCAATTGCTGCCTGCAGATGTTGAGGGAGTGAAACAAGAAGGGAAATTTTGACAGCCTTTTTTCCATACATCAACTGTCACATTTGGAACAAAACTAGATGCGCTGCTGAGGTCTGCCCTGACTTAGTGCCTTTTTCTGAGAGAGCAGGACTGACAGCTCACATGCCTTATGAGGATTTGATGAGATAATCTAAGGATGCTTTCTCACTTGAAGAAGACAGTCAGCATACCTATCGTTTGAGGCCTGTACCTGTCGTTTCAAAATATCTCAAAGTATTGATGTTTACATTTAGGTTCTGTGAAAGTGCCAGCAAAAACAGAAGATCTCATTCAGAGTGTCTTGACAGGTAAGAAACGTGTAGATCATAAACTGCAGCATCTTTTGGGTGAATTAATATTGTGAAGTGTCAAGAAAGTGCATCCTGTATGAATAACAAAATAGTTTCCCTGCTCATCTAGTTCCTCTTGTTCAAAATATTAATACAAAATATCACATATGTGTTAGTTGGACGCAGATTTAGTTCCTGTGTGATGGATATTTCAAGTATGAATAAATGGTTAATAAACATATCCTATTATAGTACTAGGCACTTTTTTCACGATTAGGATTCATAAGTGTATGGCTTTACCAAGCTGAAATTCTTTGATGAAAATGGATCTAGAAAAAAGAACTGATTAGCCTGAAAAAATTGCTTTTAAGTCTGGGGCAACCTGTGCTATTAGGAGCCTTTACATCTGCAAATGTTGCTTTGTGTCACAGTGGGGAACATGGCCCAGATGCATCAGAAAGCTCCCTATAGGCCCCTCAACCCCTTGCTCCAGTGGGGTTCTAAGGCCTATTGATAAAACTTTGTATATCCTATGAGCATATACTGTCATACAGCAACAACAGTAACCAAGAACTTCCCCTCATCTTTGCAGAAGTTGAAGCACAAACCATTGAGGAGTTGAAGCAACAAAAAGCGTTTGTGAAACTTCAGAAGAAGCACTACAAAGAAATGAAGGATCTCGTGAAGAAACACCACAAAAAAACCACCGATCTAATAAAGGAGCATACTACAAAGTACAACGAAATTCAAAATGACTATCTGCGGCGGAGGGCAGTCTTGGAGAAAACAGCTAAAAGAGACAGTAAGAAAAAGTATGTTGTATAACATTTGCTTCTTTCATTATCGACAAACCTGACCCTTCACTTGGAAGAACACAGTAATTTCAGTGAACACAGCCAGAGGCAGATGGCGCTCCTGCTCTGTGGAAGAGCTGTGCTGCCTGAGGCAGGGCAGTGGCTCACACACAGCCGTTGGAAGCAGGGCTGTACCCCTTTCGGGCTCTGAGGGCTGCCTGCGGTGTGGGGACCGAGGCACTTGTGCACACACTTCCCAGTTGTAGTGACACAGCTTGCTCTTGTTGCTAACAGTGCAAGGAAAAGAATAATCCTGAAGAGGATCTCTTAAAGAGTGGTACAGTTAGGAGCTGCGATTCAGTGGTGGCAGGGGATTGGGGGACCGCTGGGCACTAGCGAGAAGGCCTGGAGCAGGAGTTCTGTTTAGCCCTGACCTGCCAGTTATGCACCTCCACTTTAGAGAAACCATGCCCCAGTGTAATTACAATGTTTTGTTGAGTGGACTCCCTCTGCTTCCTGAAAACAAATTGGAAAAGGTATTTAATCATTCTATAATGGCAGCCAGTTTGAATGTGATTAAAATGTAGCTGAAGTGTCATTCTTAACCCTTGAGCCTGTGTTTGAAACTTCAACTCTGAAAGCTGTTACCTGTGAGTGAGTTGATTTTAATTGAATACATGATGCCAGAGAGCTGCATTTGCTGCTACTGATTTGCAGTTACATATTTCATCCTATATTTCATCCTATTATATACAGTTGAATCCCACTACATGAGCTTTTGATCTTGATCTTGCTTTTGCCTCTACAAACCACTTGGTTTGTAATATACAGCAGAACCAAAAGTGCAAGATGCTTGCCTGGTGATATCAACCAGGCAGATTTCTCAGAGCAATCATCTCCAATCTTTTTGGATGTGAAAACTGCTTTTAGCCCTAACCTGCAAAACAGGATCCTTTCATTTCCCCATTTCATGTATTTCCTTGCTGAGAAGCAAGCAATGGACTTTTATATTCAGTCAAATCCCTACTTTTGCAGGTTTAACTTTTAAAGATTTTATTATTTTCAAGTTTGCCATCATCAATAATTAAACAGGTTTTTTTTTAGTTTTACAGCCTACTGTGGAATCACAGATGATACACATATACAGGTGAATATCTCAGTGAGAGAGAGAAAGAAGCAACCCAGTACATATATGGTCAACAGCATTAAGGGTTAAGATTTGGCTAGAGATATTCTCAAATTTTCCACTTCAGCGGAGGACCTGTGAATGTGGAGGGCTGACTGTACTGCCTTTCAAGTATTACATCCTCCCAAAGTGGTTTACAAAGTATTGAAACAATGTATTAACACTACAGGTTTACATAAGATGATAGAATATTGCAGCCGAAAATTAGGTAACCCCCATGAGTCAGATAAAGCTCTCTAAGAAGATTGTTGAACACTTTAAATGTTCTTTTATATTCCCCTTAGCACATACCTTTGTATGCTTTCCATGCTTTGACTTCCTTATAAAGTAAACACTGAAGACTTAGTTTTATCTTATGTTAGTACATTGCTTTTTAAAATAAGAGTTTGGATACTCAACCTCTGTATTGTCCATTCCTGATGATGGCAAAATTATCAGACTCTGGAGGGGTTCTAGAACAAGTGGTGGGAAGTGAGGAGGTGGTGTTTTATCTATGTTGTGTGTATGTGTTGCTTATTTCATGTGTTGGCTTGTTTGGGCTGTGTGCAGCTTGGCTTAATGCGTGTTTTGCTTGGCTTTTGTTTGTTTCTATATGTATTAATGAGCAGCAGCAGCATCCCCCCTCTGAAATTGGTGTTGTGCTACCCTTTGTGGAGGCATATTTTTACATCCCCTTCAGAACTACTAGAGTGGATGTTGAAGTGCTTAGTTGATATGCCATGCACTTCCCATTGCAGAAAGGAAGATGGCATGTCACTCTGATTGTCCATCCAAGAACTTTCATCAACCACTGGCTCCTGATGATTGAAGTATGATGAGAGATGCTTCCAGTTGGTCCATTGCCCGCCCCATGCCCTCAGTCAAACTCATCTGTGAAGTGGTCTACCTGCTGCTGTCCTCAAGCACTGAGCTGGAGCCAGCTTCTAGTTGCCTTCCTGAGAACTTAGAAGTCCAGTTCTAGCACTGTGGTGAAAACTCTTTCAGACTTAAGAGGTCATAGAATTGTGCCCTGTTGGAGCACATACCATCTCCTGAATGTTATGTTTCCCTCTGCACCATCTTCATCCCTTCCCAGAGCTATATCTGCTGCTTCTCCACAGGTGTTCCTTCCTCCCAAGGCCGAGGAGGGAGGAACTGCCCTCTTCCATCAAGAGGGAGAAGGGCATAACAGAATACTTTTTACCCTTGCAAATTGGAGTGTACAGTACAGTTTTCCCTATGGGTAGAATTCAGTTTCTGCTTTTTCTCTATAGCTCAAGTGTTAACTTCATTAAGCATTTTCTTTCCCCAGTGGTGCTCCTCAGCTTGTCTGTCCAGACATCATCTAAGGTAGATTTGTTCCTAGCCTTGGTTTGTCACTAGAAATAGCAGACCCTGAAGTGGATCCAGTTACAGTCAATTAACTGACCTGCTCAAGAAAGTCTCTGCCACTTGCCTTTGCCAAGCTCTGCCTATTCCTCTAAAGAGCTTTTGGTCTAGTTACCTTTGTATTCTTAAGGGCAAAGCAGGTCCTCTTGCTCAACATCAGTGTTTAATGCTGAAATTGAATACACCAGAACATTGTTGTCTGGATGAGAATTCGGTACTGATCTTTCAAGAAACACCTTTGAACATCCCCAACCCCTGTTAATAAAGGTACTTATTCATAAGCACTACAGGCAATGGTTTGAGACAACAAGCTGGGGCACTTGCAAGTAATTTCCAGGCTCCTCTACTCAATCATGGTCTGCAAATGCACTTTGTGCAGTGCAGACGTCTACCCTGCTTTGTCCCATCCACAACTTACAGAAGGAAATGCAATTTTTGCTTCATCTTTTGGAGTCAATTCCAACAGTTCTCGTAACACAATAAGCCAGATTGTGAGAGGGTTGCATGCAGGTTGCAATCGAATTTCTGTTGCGTGAAGCAGCCATATTAGCAAACCATGGCTTCTCAACTCATTGTTCACAACCCAACAATAAACCATGGGTTATCTTTGTGGGTTGTTTGTGGTTAATAAGTAGTTGGGTGGGGGGGTTGGCAAGCTAGGTTCACACAACACAATAACCCACTATTCAACAGCAGTTAACTGTTCAGTGTCAACTAACCCATGCTCAGGCTTGTTGGGTTGTGTGGAGCTAGCCCACACAACATAGACCATAGATCTATTGGCATAGATCTCAGTGATGTATAGATCTCATTGGCATAGATCTCAGTGATGTCATTGGCCTTAGTGAACTTAAGCCATTCCCCACCTATGGAGAAATCTATTCCCACTTTCCCACTGTCCTTCTCCAGATGGCTGAACAGTGTATGGGTAAGGGATCGGACGTCTAGACTTTGATTTCTGATTGGCATTCTCATATTTGCTGAACAGTCCCCCCAGTTTCTGCAGTTGATTATTGTGATCTTAGCTCTATCCTTAAGTAAACCTTCCCTTTTAGCCTCTATTTCTGTGGTTTCCTAGGCAACTGGCTTAACACCTGGGTGGCGCTGTAAACACCTCTGATTATCTGTCAAAGTGCAGACTGATGTTTTTCATTTGTGTTGGCCTGTTTTTTAATTTTTTTAAAATACTGTTACTGTTTAGTTCGCTTTTGCTCTGTTTATTCCACATGTCTCCATTCATTCCTTCCCCTTCTCACCTCACTCTCTCTCGTTGCAGTTCTTTCCCAAGACCAAAAATATCACGCTGCTCCTTGGGGAGCTTGTTCCTCAGATTGCATTTTGTGAATATTATTTTTCCCGTTTGTATGCTGTTCCAGTCAGCTTGTTTTGCTTTGACAGGCCTTGGGTTTTGTGAACTTTGGAGACCACTAAATAGTTTCACATCAGGATATATGCAACTGGAGTATGCAACTTCTAAAAGGGATTGAGCTGAGCTGGCAGATGAAGAGGCTTTTATGGGCCATAAACTACTGACAGCCACCATTTCCAAAGCATCAGTGCACCAAGGTGTCCTTGGGAGAGTAGTAACAAAATGCAGTGCTGTGAAGCAAGGGGTGTGCTGCCACCTCTTTCCAAATTTACCTTATTTCTTCCCATATCCATCCAGATGTCTTCCCTCCTCTGCTGCATTCGTGCAAGTCTTCATTCAGTCTTGCCCTACCATTGCTCATCATTGATCCCACAATATGAAAGCAGCCCCATGTACGAGTATCTTGGTATCTCCCTTAAAATATGATTTCCACAGTTGTCAATCCACACTTTTACCTCTTCTAAACAAGAGCACCTTCATATTAGCACAAAGAAAGTGTTTTTAGACAAAGAATCCAGGTGAACATATTTGAGTGCTATTTGTGTGCTTTGATACAATGGCAGAAAATTAAGGAATGTGTTTGCAGGCTGAGAGCTTATGAGCACCTTATGCTGATTTTCTATTTGTAGAGAAGGTAAGGTGGAGGGAGGGAGGTTCTATGGTAAGGAAATAGCAGGTGCACCTTGAGCTGAGACAAGCAACAAACATTTGGGAAAGCAGAACTCAATCCTTGAGCCTCCCAAGGGTATTCTAATTGTGTTTGAGCTTTGGGGTTCGCACTGGGCAGGATGTAGACTACAGAACTTTGAACTTGGTTTGTTGTTGTTAGTTGCGAAGTCATGTTCTACCCATCGCGACCCCATGGACAACATTCCTCCAGGCCTTCCTGTCCTCCACCATCCCCTGGAGTCCACTCAAGCTCACAACAACTGCTTCAGTGACTCCATCTAACCACCTCATTCTCTGCCGTCCCCTTCTTTTGCCATCTGTTGTTCCCAGCATTAGACTCTTCTCCAGGAAGTCCTTCCTCCTCATTAGGTGGCCACAGTATTTGAGTTTCATGTTCAGTATCTGGCCTTCTAAAGAGCAGTCAGGGTTGATCTCCTCTAGGACTGACCAGTTTGATCGCCTTGCTGTCTAAGGGACTTGCAAGAGTCTCCGCCAGCACCACAGTTCAAAGGGCTCAATTCTTTGGCGCTCAGCCTTCCTTATGGTCCAACTTTCACAGCCATACATTGTAACTGGGAAAACCATAGCCTTGACTATAAGCACTTTTGTTGGCAGGGTGATGTCTCTGCTTTTTAGTATGCTATCTAGATTTGCCATAGCTTTCCTCCCCAGGAGCAAGCGTCTTTTAATTTCTTGGCTGCAGACCCCATCTGCGGTGATCTTGGAGCCCAGGAAAATAAAATCTGTCACTACCTCCATTTCTTCCCCATCTATTTGCCAGGAAGTGGGAGGACCGGATGCCATGATCTTAGTTTTCTTAATGTTGAGTTTTAAGCCAACTTTTGTACTCTCCTCCTTCTCCTGCATCAAGAGGCTCTTTAGTTCCTCTTCAATTTCTGCCATTAGAGTGGTATCGTCTGCATATCTGAAGTTCTTGATATTTCTCCCAGCAATCTTAATTCCAACTGGTGATTCATTTAGCCCCGCCTTTCTCATGATGTGCTCTGCATATAAGTGAAATAGGCAGGGTGACAGTATACAGCCTTGCCAAACTCCTTTCTCAATTTTGAACCAATCAGTGGTTCCGTGTGCAGTTCTCACTGTTGCTTCTTGACCCACATATATGTTTCTCAAGAGACAAATAAGATGGTCTGGTACTCCCATCTCTTTAAGAACTTGCCACAGTTTGTTGTGATCCACGCAATCAAAGGCTTTAGCATGGTCAATGAAGCAGAAGTAGATGTTTTTCTGGAACTCCCTAGCTTTCTCCATGATCCAGCATATGTTGGCAATTTGATCTCTAGTTCCTCTCCCTCTTCGAAATCCTGCCTGTACTTCTGGTAGTTATCGGTCCACATACTGCTGGAGCCTAGCTTGTAGGATTTTGAGCATAACTTTGCTAGCATGTGAAAGGAGTGCAATGGTGCGGTAGTTTGAACATTCTTTGGCATTGCCCTTCTTTGGGATGGGAATGTAAACTGACCTTTTCCCATCCTGTGGCCACTGTTGAGTTTTCCAAATTTGCTGGCATATTGAGTGTAGCACTTTTACTGCATTGTCTTTTAAGATTTTGAATAGCTCAGCTGGAATACTGTCACCTCCACTAACTTTGTTGCTGCTCAGACTTCCTAAGGCCCATTTGACTTCACATTCCAGGATGTCCAGCTTGAGGTCAGTGACCACCCCATCGTGGTTATCAGGGACGTTAAGCTCTTTCTTGTATAGTTCTTCTATGTAATCTTGCCACCTCTTCTTAATCTCTTCTGCCTCTGTTAGGTCCCTGCCATTTTGGTCCTTTATCATGCCCATCTTTGCATGAAACGTTCCCTTCATGTCTCCAATTTTCTTGAAGAGATCTCTGGTCCTCCCTATTCTATTGTTTTCTTCTATTTCTTTGCACTGTTCATTGAAGAAGGCATCCTTATCTCTTCTAGCTATTCTCTGGAATTCTGCATTCAATTGGGTGTATCTTTCCTTTTCTCCTTTGCCTTTTGCTTCCCTTCTCTCCTCAGCTATTTGTAAAGCTTCCTCAGACAGCCATTTTGCTTTCTTGCATTGTGCTTGGTTTAACTGTGGAAACCAAGCAAAACGAGCCAGAAGCAAGAACATTTTTTTAATGATTTGGATGAGGAAGTGCAGAGAACAATTATAAAATTTGCAGATGACACAAAACTGGGTGGGATAGCTAATAACCTAGAAGACAGAAGGTTCAAGATGATCTTGATAGGTTGGGGTGCTGTGCTGAAAGCAACAGAATGGAATTCAGTAAGGACAAATGACAAGTTCTACACCTAGGAAAAAGAAACCAAATGCATTTTTGCAAGATGGGGAGTATTTGGCTCGACAGTACTGCAAGTGAGAAGGATCTTGTAGATAACAAGCAGAATACGAGTCAACAATGTAATGTGGCAGCAAAAAGGGCAAATGCTATTTTAGGCTGCATTAATAGAAGTTTCACTTCCAAAACCCATGAAATACTAGTTCCCCTTTACTTAGCACTTTGTTTGGCTTCATCTGGTGTGGTTTGTGTGCACCACATTTTAAGAAAGATGTAGGCAAACTGGAAAGGGTTCAGAGGAGGGCAACAACTATTGTCCAGAAACTGGAAACAAAGCCTTATGAGGAGAGACTGAAAGAATTGGGCATGTTTAACCTCAAGAAGATAGAAGGGAGGGGAGATATGATAGCACTCTACAAATATTTGAAAGGCTGTCATGAAAAGGAAGGACAGGATCTCTTCTTAACCATCCCAGAGGGCAGGCCATGGAATAATGGGCTCAAGTTGTAGAAACCCAGATTACAGCTAGATATCACAAAAGAAATTCTGACAGTTAGAGCAGTACTGCAATGGAACCCATGACCTAGGGAGGCAGTGAGCTCTCCCACACTGGAGGCATTCAAGATGCAACTGACAGCCATCTGAGTGAGAAGGTTTAACTTGGAGTCCTGCACTGAGCAGGGGGTTGGACCTGATGGCCCCCTGGCTCCTCCCAACCCAACTTTACTATGATTCTATGAGGAACAGTGGATCCGGGAGCCTTCTGTTAATGATACCAGGAAGCAAAGTAACCGGAAGAGGGCCTTCTCTGCAGTGGCGCCCCATCTGCGCTCCCCAGAGAGGTCCGCCTGGCGCTGTCGTTATTTGTTTTTCGGCGCCAGGCCAAGACCTTTTTATTCAAACAGTATTTTAATAATCTTTAATATTTATAGTTTTAATTATGCCGCCAGTGTGTTTCCAAGTTTTAATTGTAATTCTATTTGTTTTATTTATTTGTTGTTATGAGCCGTCCTGAGGCTGTGCAGCAATGGGAGCGGCATATAAAAACTTTAACTAAATAAATAAATAAATAATAAATTATCTGAAAAATGACTGATGTGAGACTACCTTTGTAGTCTCTACAAAGGTAAATCTTCAATATTCCTGACACATGAAACTGTTAGGAAATCAAAATTGTTTGCTTAGTTCATAGATCTTATCAAATATTATGATGTAGTGACAGTCATCAGAACATAACAATAAAGAGATAAAATTATGACATGAAGGATAAATAAAACAGAATATATGATATACAATATAATATACCCAGTCTCAAGAAATGAATTAAAAACTAAATACACACAGCATTATAAAACAGTGCCCATATCATTTATCTTCCAGTAACCATAAAAAAATGATGCTAACTTGTGCAGTTAGCAATAAATGCACCTTTCTTGAATCTGGTGTGTCACAAAGTGTGTTTCATTAAATTACTTTTAGTGGCAGTTTGGCCATTCCATAATGGATGTTTCAGGAAACATGGCCAATGGGAAAGAAATTTTTTAAGCATTTTTCTATTGGCAGATGCTTCCAAAAACCTTGATTTAAAACCTTTATGAAGTCAGTCTGGGGACTTGCAGTGGCAGTTATTAAAAGATCAGCACACTAAAAAATGGAATGTATATGCAAATTTAAGTGTAATACGTTACTTCAGTAACATGAAAGGGGGGCAGAGGAGGGTACACCTGAAAATGGAAATCACAGTCACTGTACATGACACAATACATATGGGCTGTTAAATGAACAAAAAAGCAGATGACTTTACATATGAATTTTCTCAGGATAGACTCAGACCTCTCACATTGTATTTATTTATTAGATTTCTATCCTGCTTTTTTCTGACAACAGACTCAAAGCATTTTACACCTCTTCCTGCTCTCAGTCCTGTCCCCACAACTAGAACCCTGTGCAGTAGGTTGGCCTGAGAGTCTGTGACTGGCCCAAAATCAACCAGATGGCCCCATAGCTGAGTGGGGACCAGAATCCAGATCATCTGAGTCCCACCCCCATGCCCTTAACCCACACTGGCCCTCATTTTCTTACGACCCTTGGTTTTCATGGAGAACTAGATTAGATGGATGCTAACCTATGGGTGTGAATGATTCTGCACACGTCTAGATGAAGAGCCAACTTGTGTTTGAAAGTTCTCAGGTGGTAGGGCATCATGTGTGCAGTGTATTGTGATGCCGATAGTTTGACATGGGTCAGCATGACTGGGTCAATTAGCCTGACATCTAACTATGGCACTGCACCTAATACTGCTGCTGCACCACTGCTAGTTCTGTGCACCACCGGACCCACCACTAGAGTAGCGAGAAATCATGCTTCCTAGAAATTAGCAAGAGCTCTCATTTCTTGAATGGGACTGGTCAGTGGAGCTCCCTTTTGCAAATCCTGCTGACCACCTCCTTGTTATAGGGATCACTAGCTTCCTAATGCACTCGCATGTGAGCAGCAAAGGATTCTGCCTGGGGTTTGACTGAATCCTGGACCTGGAGTTAAGTCACAAGATGCAAAATATACATGCATATCCATCTTGAGCTACAACACAGTCAAAATATGATGGCACAACAACAAAAAAACTCTTGTTCTGCACCCTCATGACATATGATTTATTGTTGTTGTTCCCTGTTGTTCTGCAGAGGTGAAAGCAGTAGTCCAGACCACAGCTCTTCAACTGTTGAACAAGAGTTGGCTACCCTTGATTCCGAAATGACCCAAAAGCTAATAGAGCTTAAGGAAAAGCAACAGCAGCAGCTGCTTAATCTTCGGCAAGAGCAATATTACAGTGAAAAGTACCAGAAGCAAGCACATATTAAATTGGTAGGTATAAGAATCCTTGCTTCTCTGCTTTCCTTTGTGGCCTTTGATGGCAACATTGTATGCAGAGCAAACTGTATGTTTGGCCACTTTAAAGTTACCTGTGTGGCGGCATCTTTAGATGTAACACATCACACGGTCCTCACTACCTCATTACAGATTGCACATTTTAAAAAAAGAGGACTTGCAATGGTATGGAGGAAATTGTTTGAAAAGATTATGGAACTCCTTTTGGAGATAGGTGACCACATATGTGCATCCTATTCCCAATACAGCTGCTCTGTAGTTTTCTATGAATGTGTTGTTATGATACTGGCCATTTTAGTTTCCTAATTTTAATGATAGTGCTATGGCTATTGAAGAGGCGGTCTTGCAAAGCTTTCACATTTGCTCCAACTAACTACAAATGTCAGGCCATAAAGGGTAGTTTTGACATTAGCGCTGGTCTTTGGGGATTTTGTACTCCTCTGGCTTTGAAGCGGAAACCGACATACTTTGCTTAATATAATAATGTCATCTAAATAAGTAGAAACCATTCCAGAATAAGCAGCTACATTAGCGTGGCCTACGAAGCAGGAAACCATAGCTTTGAGATCACTAAAATTACTTTGGACTACTCCTTGTTTGTGCCAGGCAACCTTCTGTGAAAGTATGCATGCTCTAAATGGATGCCAGAGCACAAGCTATAAACAGCAAAGTGATATTATGCATATATTGTACCAAGGCAGCTTTTATTTTTACAGCTGCAGCTCTACTGTTGGTGGAGTCAGGCGCCCTGTGTGGGGCAGCCCTCCGGGCTAAAGCAGAAATCCAATCTGATGGTTAATAGTTGCATTGAAATGCTAAGAGGAAAGAAAAAAGGTGGTTGAATGCTACTCATTATATCATTCCAATCTCCCCCAACATGTGGAAGCTGTCAAACTAGTTATCATGCTCTACAGTGCTCTTGCTTACTTTGCTGTGCAAAAGATCAAAATCACCTAAGTATGCCATCTGGGCTCTCCAATAAAGCAGATTATTCCCTGCTTCCTTACCGCACAGGACATTGTGAGCTGGCAGGATTGCTTACCAGGTCATATGACTGGGCTCAAGCATGTTGAAATAACCCGTTGCCTTTTCAGGGATACACACTCCCATTGTTAAGGCAATGCTCTTGCTTCTTCACAGCCTCCCTTGACACTGTACTGCTGCATGCAGGGCACTTATCCACTGCTGGTAGCAAGGAAATACTCTCCTTTCTTCATCATGGCCTCTGTGCATCAAACATATGGGTACTGCGCCTGCGCAGTTCCTAGGCCGGAAGATTAGAAAGCTAACGGTTTTGGCAGGAAAACTCCGCTCCCCTCCCGCTCAGTGGTATAAATAGGGCGGAGTGTCCGCCATTTTACTGTCTTTGTGACCACCGTTCGCTGTGCCTCGTGCCTGTTCATCTCTCGCTTAGATCCTTGTGCTCACTGTTTGTTTTACACTTTTTATATACCTTGTCTCTATCTTCCTCTTCTACTCCAAGTTCTTCTCTTAACTGTTTTTTCTTCAAACCTTTTGTTCCTATAAAACAAAAAACAAAAAAGCAAAAATATTATCTTACCCTCTGCACTATTTTCTCCCTTTCTTTTCGCGATGGCACAGTGAGCGGCATTCCACAAATGCATTGAATGCGGTTCCAAAATGTCTCCCGCGGATCCACACGACCTACGCCTCCTCTGCCTTGGTGAGGGGCATAGAACTGATAAATGCAGCCACTGCTTGGCATTTACCAAGCAAGCTAGGAAAAATAGGAAGAATAGTCTCTGCAAGCTCCTATGGGACCAGGCCTTGATGCAATTGGACCAATTGGTCTTAAGGCCTGGCTCCTCTTCTGTCGCGCCCTCTCAGCTCTCCGCCTCTACCACTGGTGTGCCTGCGAAGCGTCCTGCTCTGGCTTCTGCCGCTCCTCCACAGCGTCCTTTGGACGAAGGTGCCACCTCTATGGAGGCCCAGCAGCTACCTTCTCCCCCAGCTAAAAAACAGGAGAGGCGTAAGCATACCGGCTCAGACAAGCCCTCTATGCACAAGAAGCCGAGGAAGGAAAAGGCGGACAAGCCCGCCTGCAAGGGCAAAAAACCCGACCACCCCAAACATCGTAGTTCGAATTCATCGGGCTTTCCGGTACCAACCACCGCTGCTGTACCGACTCCTTCAGGACTGGCCCTACAATCCATGATGCAGGTGACTCCGCCGGGATCCCTCAGGCAATCTACTCAGCCTGAGAGTGCGCCTTCTCAACAGCCGGAGGAGCCGCTTAGGGAGTCCATTTCTGATGGAGAGATCAGAGACTCCCCTCCAAGGGAACGCTCTCCGACTCTGATGCCCACAGCTGAGCCACCTGCAGATTCATCATCACCTCCCAGATGTCGAAGCCGCTCATCTGAGCACCGAGATGAGGATTGGCCAATGCCTGGATATGGTGGTTTCCCTGGCTGGGGTGATTACCAACCATACGCCTTTTACCCTCGGGACCGTCAGTCACCATCTGTCCCGAGAGAGGACCCATCTACGTCAAGGCGTATGGAGAGAGGACGTCCAACCTCTCCGGAAATCTCATCTTCTAGAGCACGCCACTGCTACCATGAAGACTCAGATGAGTCGGAGGTTGATTCTACATCTCCTGATGTGGCTATCACCTCCCAAGGCCCCGCATCCCCTGACGAACTGCATGTCACCTTTGCGGAGCTCATCTCCCGCCTTGTTCGGTCTCGAAATCGAGGCCCATCATCGCCCTGGGCCCAGTACCGATCGTTTTTACAACATCGTCAGGGGAGAGCAGTCCACAGCCATAGCCCTCCCACTCATTATGACACTTCGTCAGGCTATGGTCCGGCCCTGGGACCAACCGGTTCAACCATAGGCTACGTCTCGTCGGTACGAGGCCATGTACCGGGTTCAGGAGGACGACATTCCATTCCTGCTCTGTCACCCGAAGCCGAACTTGATGGTGGTTGAGTCCTCCCAGGGCAGGGAGTTGAGGGGTCACACGGCCCCTCGTGACAAGGAAGGGAGAAAAATTGATATGCTTGTGCGTCGAGTCTATGTGGCCTCTGGGCTCGGCCTGCACATACCGAATTTTGAAGCAACACTGGCATGATACCAGTACTTCATAATGCAAAAACTGGATAATGTTGCCTCCTTCCTTCCGAACCAACAAGCGGACTTGGCCAGAGTCTTTATAAAGGAGGCGATGCAGGTGGCGATGCAACTTTCCACTGCCAGGCACCACGTGGACACTGACTCGAGGGCCCTCGTCAGTGCCATTTTTCTGCGTTGCCACGTGTGGCTACAAAATTGTAATTTTCCAGACGAAATGGAGAGGAGGATTGAGAAATGCCATTTGACGGCACTGGACTTTTTCACCAGAAGACCGACCATAAGCTGAAGTCGATCCATGAATCACGCATGACCGCACGCCGCATGGAGCTTTCTCAGCAAAAACATAAGTGGCAAGGGCCTCGATCCTCCTACCGCCAGCAATATCAGCCTCAACAGCAGTACCAACAAAGACAGCAATGTCGAAGGCAGCAGCCACAACAACGCTTCTCTCAGGGCCGTCGACATTTCGATACCGAGAAGCACCAACGTTGATGGTCTGGGTGGACCATTCTCTCTCTCCACTCCCCACCTTCCCCTCTCCCTTTTGGGGACTGGCTCCAAAGCCGACTCCCCATTTGCGAGTCCATAACATCTGATAGGAGGGTGTTGTCTATCATCCAGCTCGGATATAGGGTAGAATTCGATGTCATTCCTCCATCGAGTCCGATTCATTTTACACCCCGTTCTTTGGTACTATGTGACGAAATCTACTAGCTGCTTCATAAAGGAGCGATTCGACAGCTTTCCCTCTCTGAGGGATTGCATAGATTCTATTCCAGATATCTTATGGTCCTGAAACAGGACGGGGTCTTCGTCCGATCCTGGACTTGCGAAATGTTAATAGGTACATCAAACCTAAAAAGTTTCGGATGACCACTTTACAGAATATCTTTCCGTTGCTGAGGAGAGAGGACTGGTTTGCCTCACTGGACTTGAAGGATGCTTACTTCCATATTTCCATCCATCCTTCTCACAGGCGCTTTCTACGTTTCACTGTCGGATCCAATATATTCGAATTCAGTGTTTTGCCTTTCGGCCTGGCTACTGCCCCTAGAGTTTTCACGAAGTGTATGGCTCCGGTGTGTGCACACTTACGGACTCAGGGCATACAAATGTACCCATATTTGGATGATTGGCTCATTGTGTCGCAGACTAGACAAGACCTTCTCTTAGCTGTACACGAGACTTGTGCTCTACTTGACAATCTTGGACTTTGCATTAACCACGAGAAATCACCCCTTATTCCCACGCAGGTCATCGACTTCATCGGAGCACGCCCCAATTCTACTCGGGAGAGAGCCTTCCTTCCTCCGAACTGTCGAGATACTCTCTGCAGCCATATTCATCGAATCCGACTACACAGAACTGTACCAGCCATAACCATCCAGAGACTTTTGGGACACATGGCTGCTGCAGTTGCCATTGTTCTGTACGCCAGACTACGTCTGTGGCCCATACAACTGTTTTTCATCAGAGCATTTCACCCACAGCGGGATTCTCCCACCAAGCTGATCCGGATCCCACTGTCGATCCTACGTACTTTGACTTGGTGGACTGTTCCAGACAACCCGTCCATCGGCGTTCCGTTCTGACAGCCTCAACCAACAACGACCCTGTACACCGACGCATCCCTACTCGGATGGGGTGCAGTATGTTCAGGACTTTAGGTCCAAGGGACTTGGAACTGACGAGAAGCAACAAAGCATATCAACTTCCTCGAACTTCTGGCGATTTTCAATGCCCTCAAATCCTATGAGACTGTACTATGCCGCCAAGTTGTCCAGATTGCGTCGGACATCGCTGCTGTTTTTTACATCAACAAGCAGGGCGGGACAAAGTCACCAACTTTAGCCTGTCTATCAATGGAAATTTGGGAT